AGGAACAGGGGTTGTTTGGGAACAGGCTGTGTGTCCAGCAGGGATGGGAACTGTAAGGAGGGAGGCTGGAGGAAGGCAGGGGGTGAGCACGGGCCTGCCTTGGATGAATCCTTTTTCCCTTTGCTCAGGGGCCTCAGCTCCCCCCTCTGTGAGAGCAGCAGGGAACTGCTACAGGGGAAGACTTCATTTAGGCAAAAACCAGTGATGCAGCCACTGGGGTAGGGGAAGAGGGGAGAGGAACGGAGAGGAACTGACACAGAAATCACACAGTCACCACTGAAAGAGACTTTATTGAGCTGCAACACAAACACATTCACAGCAGACCAGGGCAAGAGGTGCCCACAGGACCACCAACCCAGCAGCTGGGCTTGCAGGAACACCATCTTCTCAAGTTATGGAGCCAGGGGCTCACAGCTGGGATCTATCCTAAAGATGCACTCAGGCATCAGGGCCAAGTCCTGCCCAGTCACTGCAGACAGTTCAGCCCCAGCAGCAGTGGCAGTTTCTGCCTCTCCCTCCAATATTATTTGGGACCCAACAGCTCAAGGCTGTGGAATTTTAGCGCTCCATAAATGTTTTACAAACTTGAGCTTCCTGAGAACTGGTGCATTTTTGAGTCTTCCTGTCTCTTCCAGTGCTGCACTTGCCAGGATCCTTTGGGCCTGCTGTTTTGCTGACAGGCAGGGCACTCCAGGAAAGAACTCCTCACCAGTCATGGAATAATAGGAACAGCTTAAACAAACCCAATCCACCACATGGGATACAGATTTCTGCGGGTGCCTCCAGCCCAGGGGAGGCTGCGGGGTGGCTCCAAGGGGGTCCCGCTGGCCAGGCTCTGCCCAACAAAGCCGGCTTTAGGCCAGGCCTGGCACTGTGGGGCCGTGGGCACGGGCAGGTTCCGTGAGCTCCCCGTTGGCCACCCCTGGAGCACTGGGTTCAAAAACTTTGTAGCAGATGGTGAGAATCCTGTAAATATGTCCCACCAGTGGTGAGTAGGGACTTGTTCTAATGCCCAAAGGTCATTAATTGACCCCTATAATTACTGTTTCCAGTTCGTGATCAAGTCAAGTCTTATTTCAAATTTGCAGGGCAATAATTTGTATTTACACACAAAAATCCCTGGTTTACTTACATTGAAGTGTGTTATTTTTCCAGCACGATATCAGTCGGTGCACTGCAGCAATTCAGGAGACAAAATCCAGTTAATTTTTGCAATCCAGGATGTGAATGCAGTCATCCAGATCAGTTCATTGGTTCTCAAGTTGTTCTGTGCCTCATTTCTTTGTATGTGCACTCAGCCCAGTTCATAAGTTACTGGTGTTCCCTGTGCACAACAATTACACCTTGAGGAACCATTAGAGAGCTGCCCAAACTCCCCATCCCATTCTGGAGTGAAGGGTGGGGGGTAAATACAGTGGGCATCCCTTGTGCTCCTAAATTCAGCACTTGGGATACACCTGGCCCAGTTGTTTTCCATTGGTTACCAAGCAATTCCATGTCTCCACTGTCTACAAATCCAATACCAGCTCCCGTTCCTCCCAGTCCCGTGTCCCCCCAGCCTCACTGCCAGGGGCAAGATGGGAGCACTGGAAGAAGAGTGGGGAAATGAATTCTATGATCCTGATGATGTTGGGCTGCAGGACACAGGCAGCAGGTACCCAACAGTTGGACCAATATTGGCCTTGGGAGGATGATGCCACACTGTCCCATCCCCTGCCCAAGCTGATCCCTTGGCTCCTTTGGCAGCACTTACCCAGAACAGCCCAGCAGGCAGAGCCCAGGGGAGGGCACTGCTGCTGTGACACTGTGGCTGTGACTGGCACTGCTCACCCAAGGGGGACAATGCTGCCAGAAGGGAAACTACAGCATTGCATGGCAACAGTGCTCCCAGCCCATGGAATCACATCCATCCAATCCCACTGAGGGCACCAACATCCGCCCGCACAATGAGCCCGACAGACTCCAGCCCTGCCATAGAGTCCCCCCAGGCACAAAGGGAGACTGACCCCTGGGCAAGGTCCATTTGCTGCCCAGCTCACCTTGTCCTGGGGTCCTGTTTTGGAGCTGCTTTTCCATCTCCATCCAAATCAAACCACGTCACCCGACCCAGGCACCTTTTCCAGGGAACTGCCCGGGCCAACAGCATCGCCCAGAGGGATCACAAGGGGTATGAGGACAGCCAGGATCCACAGTTTCTGTAAGATATCAAGCTAAAACATGGTAATATCATTCCCTCCACTAACATTTATTCACAGGAACATATTCCCATTTTTGTTGTCTGCATTTAATCACTAATTCCGTGATGGTGTCAGTTGGGAGCCAAGTAGCCAAACCACTGCCAACTGACCCCAAATCCCTACAAACTTGACACTGCCCTAGTTCTTCCTGTTTAATTCCCACAGGTACAGTGTCTCACTCAGCTCATGGACTACTTTTGCCTCCCCCCACTGTGACTTCAAACTCCCTCTGGCACGGGTTATAAGCTCCTGCTTTCCAAAAGTGCTTCCCACTGATAGATTTGGCTGACCCAGCAGTGAGCCATGCACGCTCCCTCTCTTCTCCCAGCACTTGCTTTAGGGCTTTTCCCCATTTGCCCAGTGATTTGTGCTCACTGTCCAGGGATCTACACTTGTCACTTCAACCACAGGGCCGTTGGCAACTCCCTCACGAAGCCTTGCTCCTGCCCTGACCCCTGCTCTGGCTCTGGCTTGGATTCACCATCTCCATGTCATGATGCTGCCTTCCTGAGCATGGCCTGGCCTGTGCATCCTGGAGGAGCTTTTTACCCACAGCCTTATGGGCATTTCAGGTCCTCTGATCATTTGTTAAGTTTCCACTAAAGCCCAAGAACGTACTCAGAGCTGCTTCTCCAACAGGGTCTGTCTTGGGCTGGCTTCCAGTAACTTCCTATTCCCAAATCCTAAGGGCACTTCCTTCCTACCCTACTTCTGCCAGAGGCTCCAATTGGCATCATTATCACTGGCAGGAACCTTTAGTACCACCCCCTCTCTGGCTCAGATTGGCCACAGGGCCGGAGCCTGTGGAATTGCTCCCTGAGCTGTTTCCAACCCTCCCTGCTGCTCATTTCCCACTCAAACTCACACTTCTGTCCTGGGACTTTATGGCCCCGGCCAAGGATTGGTCCCAAAGGAGGACCTTGTTGTCACCAAAAGCCAAACAAACCAATCAACTGCTGGGCTTCCACCTTGCTCTGGGGGTGACCAAGCCTGAAGTCTCCTGTCTGGTCCTGGGCAATACTTCCTGGGGACCACAACACCTCTCAGTTCCTAAAAATATCACAGGTTAGGCAGACGCTTGAATTTTGTCGGAATTAACTCCCCCCCTTCCTTTCCATGTGCTGCACTACTCATTCTAATGGTGCTTGTACTCCCTGAACCATTCCCTCACCCATCCAACCATCCCTTGTCCCCTCTCTGGTAAAGACAGTGGGTCCAGGTGTTCTGCCACGCTCCCAGGGCAGAGGGGGGGACTGTGGAGCCACCCTCGAGGTGGGGGGGAAAGGTGCCCTGCCTGCCCTGCCCAGGGAAACGGAACTGCCCCCAGTGTTCCCCAGCACAAGGCAGCCCTTGGAAACATCCACTGCAATGGGACACTCAGGGACAGCAGCAAGCACTCCACAAGGCTGCTCTGGCACAGGACCAATTTTAAGCTCAGCTGGACCACTTCACTTTGTTTCCCACCTCATCCTGCAGTCAGAACTGGCTGTCCTTGCAACTTTTTAGGGTGATCATAAATTAAAGAGGCCTCTGCTCCAGCACCCACAAGGGCCTGAACCATCTGACAGGATCCATTTTTCCAGGGAATTCAAAGCTCCACCTGAGGACCACGGTCTTTTCTCACCCATCCTCGTGCTGGAGCTTGGCCTCCATCTCACTCTGCTTTCAGTTCTTTCTGTGGTTGCACATCTGCAGCCCTGGCCCTGGGTGGAGCTGGGCATCCTGATCCCATCCCTCCTGGCCCCCGGAACCGCTGACTCAGCAATGGGGGGCCCTCCATTGCCAAGTGCACGGTCCCGTCAGGGCTCACGGGGGGAGCAGGAGGTCAAAGGCTCCATCCCTCCTGCTACAACCTTCCACCACTACAGCCAACAGAGGAGCCTCTCGAGCCCTGCCTCCCAAGGCATCCTGAACAAACCCACCCCAACTCCACAGGACAAACTGCTCCCTGTCTGCCCAGTCCAGTCTACTCTCAGCAATGCCTGAATCCATTGCAGGGACCTTGCTTTGAACTCCCCAGGGCTGGGCACCCCGAGGATCTCCCCGAATAATCCTTTCGGTGCGCGCTGGAGTCATCGGGGTGCCCCAACCCGGGGGGCACCAACAGCACTGTCCCTCCAGGGGGGCCCAATTTGCTCCCAAGGCTTCAATGCACAGCCCAAAAGGCATTTCAGGAGTCCTTCTTTGGAACCCACCAACGTGGACGGGGAGGAAGCCACAAGAAGGCCTCATTTCTAAAGGCAGGGGGATCTTGCCTGTGTCCCAGACCGCTCCGGGGATCTGAGGCCCTTCCCGAGAAAATCTCGGTGCCGGCGTGAAGGCCCAGAGATCCCTTGAGCCACGGGAGAGCAGGCACAGAGTCCCTCCTGCAGGGCCAATTTACTGCCTGAAATCAGCTCTTCAAAGAAGCCTCTAAGACTCAGCTGGTGAGTTTTAGAAGCCAGGCATTCCTACATGCCATGAGATATTTTAAGAGCTTACTGAGTTAAAAAACATGAAGCTTTTATCAGTGACATCTGACCTCCAACAGACAGCTCCTTTCCCATTTTCGTAGAATATTTTTTTCATGGTATCACTTAATAGGAAGTGCCCAGGAAGCCCAGACTGTGCTTTCCAGAACAGAAAATAAACAGAGGAAAGGAGCTTTGCACAAGTGTAACATACTCCAGAACAGACCTGACTTTAGTTTTCTGCTATATTTGAACACAAAGAGAAAAACTAAAGCTCCAGCAGGAGAGCTGGCACATTACCCACAGTACCCTCAAAGTCCCTCTCACGAGGGCTGTAGGAAAATTACAGTTATACGAGTCCCTTGTGCCTGCAGATGCCTGGGGATCCTCTCCATCCACCTCGTGCTCTCCCAACAGCAGAAAGGGTGACCTCAGGGACACGGTGGCACTCAACATCCTGCTGAGAGAGCAAGGAAACCTTTAGCATAAAGGTGAGTTGCAATCTAAAACTTTCTTTCCTGGCAGCTTTGTGAAGCCTGCAACCAAGAGGGGGAAAATTTCCACCTCCCTTGGTGCAGGTGTCAACAGAGACCAACAGAGCTTTCACCTTTTTCAGACAACTGTGCCCTTTTTGGCTCCCTGGCAGCTCCAATGGCACCAGAACCCCCTTCCTGCACACCCACGGGTGTCACACACAGGCACCCACACACCTTTGCTCCAGCCCACACGTGGCCAACATTTCCTCACCCTGGACATCCCAAGGGGAGTATTTTTGCTAGAGAGCACAGCAACCCCCCTGCCCTTGCAAACTGCCTCCCTGCTAAAAAGCAATCATTTTTCCTGGACACTTCTCCCACAGCCAAGGTCTTTTCAAACTGCTGTCGTGCCACCAAACCTGCTCAGGGTCCCTCCCAGCTTCTGCCTGTCCTTGCATTTAAAGGCACGGGCATGTTCTATCTGCCATCAGCAGAACCCAGCTCCTCATTGGGAGTATAAGCGCTGCTCTTACCTGGACAGACTCCCGGGCTCGGCACAGCTGTGGGTCATGGAGCAGCTTCCCAAGGCCATTCTCTCTCCCAGCAGGAAGCACAACTCGCCTCCGCCCCAGGGGAAACCACGAGCCAGGCTGGGAACTGACACAGAACGAGCAAAAAGCATTAATGCAGCACCAAAAAAACAAGTTAAAGCAGTCTTTGCCTCATAACCCTGCACAGGGAAAGGCTTTGGGATTCCGACGCAAAGCCTGAGACACCCAGACAGCACCAGCCCCGCAGCCCTGCCACGGCTCCTCCAGGGTCACCCGGTAGGTAACGGGCTTACCCGGCCCCCGCTGCCCAGCACAACGCGCCCTTAAACGCCCCCCATCTCCCCCGGTCCATAAACCCAGCGGCCAAGGCGCTCTCCCCTCCGCAGCCCGGGCAGCAGCGGAGCCGCACCCTCAGCCCTCACACACAACCGCCCGCAGCTGCCCCGCCGGCCCTTCTATACCGCGGGCCGGCAGCGCTGCCCAATCAGCACTCGAGCGCCTCCGCCCAATCGCAGCCCGCCTGTCCCTGCGGCCCCGCCCCGCCCGCTCAGCCCGGCCCCGCCCCTCTGCGCGGCCCCGCCCCCGTTCCCTCCGCGCGGCTCCCGCCGCCGCCGCAGCCCCGGCGGGCGCTGCTGGGGCCGGGGAAGGGCGGTGGGAGCTCCGCGGGCACGGCCCGGCCGGGACCTCTCCCGGGACACGGGGAGCGAGGCGGGGAGTGGGGACAGCGGGGCGGGGCCGGCGCGAGCCGGGGGGCGGGCCTGGGCGGGTCGAGGGGCGGGGCCGGCATGATCCCGCGGCGCTTCGCTCTGGGCTCTGGGGTTGTTTCGGGCTGGGTTTGGGTGCGGATTTTGGGGAACTGCGCACACCCTCCCCTGGTCACAGCCCCGCCCCAGCTCGCTGCACTCTGCGCACCCCTTCCTCAGCTCCTTTCTGCTCCGTGCCGACTGTGCCCGGAGTCGACAGCACCCGCGCTGTCTGCTCGGGGCTTGTTCCTCACCGTCCGGTTCCAAATGAGAGGGGAGCAAGAGGCAACCTTTGGCTCTCTGGTGGATTTGGTGGGCCAGCCCTGGCACTCCGCGGGCAGCAAGAGCTTTCTGTCCTGGCCCCTTTGCTCTGGGAGGAATCTTTGTCCGTACGCCATTTGGGCAGTGGGACTGGCAGCTGGAGCTGCCAAAAACCAAGAGCCCTTCTCCCCAGCCAAGTAAACCTGCAACCTTTGGCTCTCTGGTGGATTTGGTGGGCCAGCCTGGGCACTCCACGGGCATCAAGAGCTTTCTGTCCTGGCCCCTTTGCTCTGGGAAGAATCTTCGTCCGTACACCATTTGAGCAGTGGGATGGGAGCTGGAGCTGTATAAAGGCAAGAGCCCTTCTCCCCGGCCAAGCAAGGCTGCAACCTTTGGGTCTCTGGTGCACTTGGTGGGCCAGCCTAGGCTCTCTGTAGGCAGGAAGAGGAGAGAAGGTTTGGCACCTTCTCTCTTGGAGGAATCGTCCTCCGTGTTAATTTTTTGGAGCTGGATTTTCCATTTAGCCGAGGATTTTTGAAATTCTACTACAGCGCTTTTCCACACATAAGAAAGCACTTACTTTTGTCGTTTGTGTTCCAATTGGTTGGACAACCTGGGTACTCCATGGGCAGGAAATGCCTTCTATCCTGATACCTTGTACCTGCAAGTAGCCTCATTCATATTCAATTTTTTGTGCTGGACTACCTATTTCAGGTCTATGATTCCTGCAAGCAAACATCAGTCTTCTTTATCTGCAAAGGAAACCCTTACCTCCATTGTTTCTATTACAGTTTCTGGGTAGCTTAGACCCTCCATAGTCTGCAACCACTCTGTGTCCTGGCATCTGAGCAGACTAGCTCAGCTCAGCTGCTTTTGAAGAGTTTATGAGGTAACCAGGAGAGGAGTTAAGGTTCTGCCTTCAAAATTTCTACTCCGTGGAGAAGCTCCTCCCAGCTCAGCCCACTTCAACCCAGCTGCACTGCAAGCTCTAATCATCTGATCATTGAATGAAGCTGAGGGCATTTGTGGGAGATTTAAGCTACAGGGAAAAAGTACTCCCAACACAGTCCAGCTGCCTTGCGAGGCCTAATCAGCTCACAAGAAGATGGCATCCAGGTTGTTACTGGGTGATATAAACTGCTGCAACAGGAGTAGCAAGCCAGGGTGTGGCATGTAAGTGAGGGTGGGGCATGGCATGGCATGGCATGGCATGGCATGGCATGGCATGGCATGG